AGTAAAATTGCAGGTTTGCTACCTATAATTATCAGCTGTTCTGATAATTAAATCAAATATTTACTGAATTTTTATACCATTTGCCAAGTACTGTGATAAAAGTGAAGAACTTGTAAGACTTCTAGCTAATGACAGTGGATTGAATGCACACATTAGCTTGTGCACCCTCCCAAAACTCCACTAAAATAGTAATGCACACATTAGAACAAAGAATAGAGAATAGACAATAACAATAAAATTTTGGAAGCTGGAAAACAGATGGAGGAGTGGTAATAAACTTAGCAGACTTGGGAAACCTGAATCCTATCACGGTAGTGGGCAAAACCAAGATGAAACTGATTTATACCACAGACCTCCCAAAGACTCAGGAGCTCCAGGGATAATCACTGACTAGTCTAAACCAAGTTTGGTAATTCCATCCACTGTTGTCATGGATTAAACACAGCCTGAGTCAATGTGTGGCATTCCCCTGGTTAATAGTTCAGGACTAGACGTGTGACCAATGTTGGCCTAGTCAGATTAATGAGAGACTTGTCAAGTGGAAAGAGGCCCTCTTTGTACTACTGGATGTAAATGACAAGTATGTAGCCCTGACTTTTTCCAACAACCATCCTATGACTCCAGTGAGATTCAGTATTGTGGGCAGCATAACAGAGAGACACAACTACTGAATTAACCAACCATAATGCTACTCTTCCTCTAAATGGCCAGTTTTATAAATAATAAATTTTAAGTTAGTTTGATTAGAGTTTTATAGTACTTACAGCCAAAAGCACTCTAATGTATAAGTTTACTTTGTTCCAGGCACTGTTCTAAGAGCTTTATGTGTAGTATCTCATGTAATCCTATAAGGTATGTACTATTATGTTCCATTTTACAAATGAAAAATTCAGGCAAATAATATGAAGTAACATGTCCACAGTCATACAGAGAGTATTAGAGTACAGATTTGAATTCAGAAAATCAAATTTCAGAGTTTACACTCTTTAAAGTAATATTATTAAACGTTAGCTATAGTCAAGACAAAAGTCAGTGTTCAAAGATGCAAGAAGAGAGGGCAGCATATTTACGTCCCAAGATAGCTCTACGGGGCTAAAGTCAAGCTTTTGTCACGTAGAAAAGAATTAAAGATTTAAAGAAAAAAAAAAAAAAGGCTTACCCTTCTTTTTCTTCTTCTTCTTTTTCAAATCTCCCTGGCTACTAAAAGAAGAAACATCATTACTCTAATCATGAAAAAATACTTAGAGAGGATTAAGAATATGCAAAAGAGTGAGCAGGCACTTTATCATAAAGATGTTTTAGACTTACTGCCTGCTCACCAAAAACTAACAAACTAATTGGATATTAATTCAGGTTAAATTCACTCAAGCTTCAGATACTATTGTTTTTTGAAAG